ACATACTACTACTTAGATACGCTTGGTCAGAAAATGAAATCAAAATGAGACGTTACGTAAATGTTTGTAGCTCAAAGCTGAAGTAAAAGTTGGAGCTGACTAATATGGAAAAGGAAAGATGAACAAAACTATTAGAAAAGATTAAAGTAAATGCCAAAAGTTTGAAATTTTGTTGTCTACTTTCACAAAAAAAGTTACATTTACCATGCACTGTTTAATGAACTGTTTAAAAAACTTTATCAGTTTTTAGACCTGATAAAACACGATGTGCGAGTTTATTGAACAGCTTAAAAACCTGATGATGTATGTTCTCATATTGTACCGAATTCTTTACGAAATGAACCAAGTTTGATAGAGAAAATCCAAGTTAAAGTTTATGCAAATGAAGACGAATCTATATCAGATATAAAACCTCCTTCACGGTCATGATTTCTATTGTGTTTCCTTCATGAATTATTACTGAGGTTTTTAAGGTTAGTTAATGAGGGGGAATTTCCATCTACTCAAAAATTAATTTTGAAGGGACTTTGATTAGCTCTGGAACAAGAAAATATATTTCTTTCCCAAAACATTATTTTATTTATATCCATCTATATTGACAAAAAAAATTATACATGTAATAAAACAACCCCAACACTACTAAGAAAGCATTTTCAATGATGGTATATGGATGCTTTTTGTATGAAATATTACACTTTAAGATCTGAAAATAAAGGGGTAAGAGTTACAGAGGAATTAAAACTAAATAGATAGCTATTTTTCATATCTATTTTTCCATTTGACATTATTTCTTTTTATGTGAAGTATGGTAGTTTTTAATTTCTGGTTCCTCCTCACAGTTCATGGCCACTGGTACCCCTCCTGATTCTGGTACATGTAACTGGATGTCAGGGGAAGGAGAGGAAGTAGATAGGAAGTAGAAGAGAAGCAGTTTGAATCCTTAATGGTCCATTACCTTAGTAGAATCAAACAAAAGAGAAGAAAATGAAAATGAGGCATAGAAGTGTGAGTGGGAAGAAAGATGTCAGAGATATGAATATTCAGAGTAGAGACATACTGATATGCGGAGGGGAGGGGTAAGTATGTATTTACTTGTCATCATGATTCATCATCATCATCATCATCATGAATCATCATCATCATCATCATCCTCATCATCATCATCATCATCACCACCATCATCATCATCATGAATCATCATTAATGATCATCACCATCATTATCATCAATATCATAATCATTATAATCATGGCAGTGGGGTACAGATATTATAACCACTAGATAATGAGAAGCACGGGTGGCGTAGTGGTGGAAGCGCTCGCCTCTCACCAATGCGACCCGGGTTCGAGTCCCACTGTATGTGTCGTATGTGAGTAGAGTTGTTTGTTGGTTCTCTTCTGTGCTTTGAGGGTTTCCTGGGTTCATTGGTTTTCCTCCCTCTGCAAAAATCAACTTCTAAATTCCAATTGGAATTACAGTGGATGAAGAGCCACTCTGTGGAAATGCCACTGCTAAATCCTTTTTATTTTTTWTTATTTTTTATTTAATAGTTTCCAAATGCAAAGTATCTCTCCTACATCATCATACTATTCAAGAGGTGGACTGGAGTGGATATACGTTATAAGAAGATTATACATCACCTTATAATTTTATAAGAACAGTAAGTAAAAGACATACTAAATATCCAATTTTTCAAGTAATGTCCATTGTTTTTAAATCATTACAATCACATACCTTCTTATTCAGATGTCATATCATCTCCACAAAGTAAACCATCCATCGCCAGCCACAAGCAGAATAGAAGGTTAGAATACAACTTCATTGAATCATTCATTATCACTATCATTCCAGTATCACCTTCCCAATCTTTCAGTGTCGATAAAGATCTTCTGTCAGTTGGATGGGGGGACTTGTTTTTCATTGTCTGTGTTGAGTACATCTTTTTCAAGTTCTTCAACATTTATATTTTTTTCTTTTATTGCTTTCTAAGAAAGGAAATGAAGAGCAAATAGTATTATTAAAGGCAACATACTTTTTCCATATTTACAGCTGTAATACCCGAAGCAATAGTCTCCTTTGCATCGACATTATGAGTGTTACTGTAGATGTAATTTCCTTCATATTTCATAAATGCAGGGCTTTTTAAAATGTACAAAATTGCCCAATATCACTATCGTGTCACAGCTCGTTTATGAGGGGGACAGAATGGTAAAGACAACAAACAAACATAAGTTGACCCACCCACCCCCACCACTTACAGACACACAGACACACTACAGAATATTGAGCTAGTAATATCAGCATTCATAAATTCTTTATCAATTAAACTGTTACAATAATACTACAGAATTTTAAACAAACAACTTCAACGTCATGTTAACAAAAATTTCACAAACTAAAAAAATAAACTCTGATACTGCATGCTACTAAAATAGATATTATATATCATTGATAATAGCAAATTAATAATATCCATGGATCCCTACCATCACACATGCTTTGTAATCTTGGAACAGTTCTTTACAAGGATCTGTCAGACGATCTCCTTTCAAGAAATGGTCCGTGTACCATGCGTTAAAGCAAGCATCGTATTCCTTCTTAAGGTTATTGCATTCTTTTCCAACACTATTCATAACTTTTTTTAAAATCTCGAGGTTCTACTCAATAAATGTGGTTCTTGATCGGCCTGAGCCCATARTATTAGTGGTCAGCGGTTAATCTAGGTGAGCCCGCAGTATTTTATACTCAGCTGTTACTCAAATGAGACTAAGAGCGACGCATTGAATAAAGTGTTTATTCGCTGAGCACTAGGTTTGTCGTAGCAAATCCAAGATGGCGGCCACACGAGAAGTCATTTCACTACAGTTTGGCCATTATTCTAACTTTGTAGGCACGCATTTATGGAATATCCAAGAAGCATCTTTCAGTTACGATCCTAGTGGTTCAAAGAAGAGTGACGTGAATCACGATTGCTTTTTTCGCGAGGGAAAGACCATTGATGGCGACGAGACTTACACTCCTCGTCTGTTGTTGTTTGACTTGAAGGGCAGTTTGAGGAACTTGAACGTCGAAGGAACGCTTTATCCATCATCTTCCAAATCTGTTGAGTGGCCAGGAGAAGTTACAGTGTACCAGTCAAACATAGAGCCTAAAAATGAATTCCAAATGGACATCGAAGAGGAAGAAATGTTATCAAATCCTCTGACAAATGACAAAACTGAAGCTCAAGAACATTCTGCGATTTGTTCAGGCCGTAATAAAGTGTACGATCTCGATGATCATGTATTTGTTTGGTCAGACTTCGTAGGAACTCAATATCATCCTAAAAGTGTGAACATTATTAAAGAATATATGCATGTGGCTGAGCACTTCGCATTCGATACTTTTGGTTATGGACAAAACTTGTACATCAACACAGACTTTCGCGATGAATTCGAGAATAGCTTGCATTTCTTTGTCGAAGAGTGTGATCAGCTGCAGGGTTTCCAGGTAAAAAACAGTATGCAACAAACATCTTTTCTGTGTTCTTTTTTGATTTTGGGATCCCTGTGGTAAGGAAGAAAGCAGAAAAACTGAGGGGAGGAAGGAGTAAAAGATGACAAACACCAGACATTTGAACAGCAAAAACTAAAAAAGATGTCTTTCCTGCATCATTCAATTTCTATTTCCTATCACTCTCCCTTCCTTTCACTTCCATCCACAAACCCTGTAAGCAGTCTTAGGGACGGACCATTAGATCTTTGAGAGGAGGGGGGGTTGGGTTGGGCAATTTCTTTTGTGCAGGAATTTTTTTTTACCCCTCATGGCTGTGCAGGAATTTTTTTTTATGCACAATTTGTTTTTCACTCCAAATCTGTGCTCGAATTTTTTTTGGTATTTAATGCCCAACCCACCCAACCACCCTCCTCCTCTCAAAAATCTAATAGTCCATCCTTAGGAGTTTTCATCACATYAAACACATCATAGAATATTAAAAGAACCACAATAGATTCAAAATGACTAATCTAGCTCTATTTTTTCACTTCAGATCCTAACAGACATACACAATGGCTTTGCAGGTCTTTCCTCTCAGGTTATCCAAGACCTTGCAGATGAATACAGCCCAAAATCTATAATCACCTTTGGTTTACTACCAGCAACGCTTCCAGGAAGTACCAACATGAAAGCAGCCCACAGACTATTGAATATTGCTCTGAGTTTTGATCAACTCAGCTCAAACAGTAGCATGCTTACTCCTCTATCCCTGGCACAGCAAGGATGGCTACAAACTGGGAATCCATCAGTATTTCCATATTTAACATACAAGGTACTTAGAGACATTTTGATACTTGGAGTGGGGTGGTGCAATGATAAGGGCAAAAAAGTTAGTGGTATGGCTATTGTTCTTGCTTCTGTTGTTGCTACTGCTGTTGTTGCTACTGCTGTTGTTGCTACAGCTGTTGTTGCTACTGCTGTTG